AACTCTTTTACGTTTTCTCGAAAAAAAAATACCAACTATAAAAAAACGACTTGTTCAGGTAGCTAATACTTCTTACATAAACGCTATGTAATAAAAGCCAATTAGACAACAACTTGTCTATTCAGTTAGCATTGAGATAAGCATCCTTGATTCTATGTAGCTTGGCAGCCACCTCCTGCATGTTGATACGATCGCCAGGGGATGGCTTGGTGCAAGAAAGGCCAACGTTTAGCATAGATAGAAGACATTTTGAACATTTTTCCTTCAAGGCCATTGGATTTTCCTCCAACTCTTGTAGCAGTTGGGGGTCAACAATCTCCAATACCCTACCTGGAAAGCTGGCCTCTATAAACTTCACTACATTGATTCCATCCTTAAATATGTCATCAATCGGCCTTCTTCGAATGAATATCTCGAGGAGAACGACACCAAAGCTGTAAACATCCGCGGCAGTTGAAACTTGACAGCCCCCGGCATATTCTAAAGAATGAAAAGAATGGAGTTATTTCGCTTTTCCTGCTTAACATAGATGCGGAAAAATTGTACCTACTTGAGACTAAATGAAGACCGTTACCTGGAGCGGCATATCCAATTGTCCCCACTACTGCAATAGAAGAAGAGTTGGAGTTACCAAGAGATGACATTGTGGAACCAACTTTGAATCTTGCGAGACCAAAATCTCCAACATGGGCTGTCATATTGTCATCCAAAAGAATGTTGCTAGGCTTCAGATCACAATGAATCATTGTTTCTTGGTTGTTATGGTGTAGATACTCCAGTGCATCTGCCACATCCACCACAATACTTATCCTTTTGAGCCATCATAATGAGGTTCAAATCTAAAGAGCCTTCATAGTCTCGAGTTGAGTATAATAGCTTATATAAGTCTCCTGGTGGCATGAGCTCATACACCAGGGCCTTGAAATCATTTCCACTAGAATCAATGCTTGAGCATGCTGTTAGAATAGGAACCAGATTACGATGGCGCACCTTTCTCAATGCATTACATTCTGCAATGAAGCTCTTGTGTGCTCCTCTTATCTCTAGGTTGAAGACTTTTATGGCAACCTCATCTTGGTCTTCAACTAGTTTTCCTTGGTATACAGAACTGTATCTTCCTCTACCAATTAAGTTAGATGTCGAGAACCCCTCTGTTGCTCTAGTTAGGTCACTGAAAGAAACTTTGGAAAATTTTGTAGCAAATGATGGAATTAATATAGACTTGCTCTTGTGTTTTCTTATCCATAGCAAATAGTTGAATATGACTGAAAGTGACACAACACATGCTATTGGGATGACCACTTTGAGCACCAAAGATTCCTTCTTCCTAATTGAATTTGAAGGCGCAACAAAACAGGCTAGTATGTGTAACTCCTGTACCCCGCCACAAAGCCCTTGATTTTCATTAATCCTAACGGCAGTTGCATTCTTGAAGATCCCTTCTGTTGGAACCTCACCATTAAGATGGTTGAATGACAAATCTAATTTCTCAAGAAGTTGTAGGTTGCCAAGAGACATTGGTATTGACCCGGTTAAGCTATTGTCAGAAAAATTCAAAACCTTGAGACCTCTTAGGTGGCCTAATGACGCAGGAATACTTCCGCTGAAACTATTTGAGGCTAATTCAATATCTTCTATACTTTCGCAATCACCCAAAGTGTTTGGTATATCTCCAGATAGCTTGTTTGATGAAAGTACCAGATTTACGAGTTGTTTGGCATTGCCAATGTTGGTTGGAAGTTGACCATCCAGGTTGTTGAAAGATAAATCAATTAGAGATATTGTTGGGATTCGGAAGATCTCCATTGGAACCCTTCCATGAAGATTGTTGTAATGTGCAACTCTTGAAGCATCGGAAAGTTTCCAAAGCTTCGTGGTATGTCACCAATGAACTTGTTTGAGTATAGATAG